CTTCATCCAGATAATAGGAAAAATGATTATGTCCATCTTACACTTGAGTTGGTTAATAATTATAGATAACTCATAGTTCATGTTCTGCTCATAATTGAAATCAGGGAAAATTCTTATAAAAATGGATACCAGTAACAAATTGGAAGATGTAGGAGAACTTTGTGGTCCTCTTGATTATGGGCCAATTAAGGCCGTCGTTCTACTTTATCCAGTTCATTATGCATGTTTTTGGCATTTAAAATTGTGTACAATTATTAGAAGAGCGTCAATTATGACAAACTACTCTACAAATCGAAATTTCAGTTCTCCATGCTGTGGGGGATAATATGATCTCTTCAATTGGCAGGATCTCACGTGTTTTCAAATGCTAAGTGTCAGACTTCCCTGCCTGGACCTTCGTTAATCGTGATCAATTGATTGTAATGCTTTAGTTGTTTCTAATAAATCATTGGAGCGCCATTTTTCCCCGACATCATTTTCCAACCTTTTTATTCTTGTTCATTGTTTTATTCTTTTCACATGCTTTCTGTGAATAAATTTAACAGGCATTTTTTATCAGATATTTTTTGTCTTTAGTTTCCATTTTCGATAACCATGATGTGTTCCTCTTGTTAATGGTATAATTCAAGGCACTTGATACATCATTGGATGGGAGGGTGAGAGGAATAAAGGTGTGTAATGCTACGTGCTGATTGTTTGATTCGTAGCTTAAACAAATCCAGGAACTTCTGATGTGGATATATTCAATTCAACATATTGATATGGTCTTCATTTGCTGTCAGAATGCATCAATTTGGTCAGAATGGTTATGCAATAACCTTGAGTTCTAAGAGTATTTTTGTCTTTTATAAAGATGCCTGTGGCTGCAATTACTGAAAGTCACTTCTCTCAATGTTCAAGTTTCTCATTTAAGCTGCAGGTTTACAGAGTTGCGTTCTCTTGGGATGTGTTTGCATATCTATGTGTGTATGATTTTCAACCTTGTGTAGCATCCAGTTGGACTTGAGCACTTCCTACTTAAATTTCAGTAGTGTCAGGGAACATTTGTATGTGGCCTAAGTCTGTTTGGTTCTAATATAGGATGCCTCCCTTCTCTTTCTGTTTACATATTAATGGTCCTACCTTCTCTTCTGTCTACATATTAATGGTTTCACGTCAAGTGGAATAGTTTGCATTTTTTGTTGTTGGATATTCCCAGTGACTTGGCTCATAACTTAAAGATGTTTGACCACGTGATTCAGGGAGATACCATTTACCTGTTCTACGAAACAAAGAATTCAATTACCATGCAGGGAGATATTGGAGTTTCCTGTAGTATTGATAAGGGAGCAACATGGCAGCACTTGGGGATTGCTCTGGATGAAGACTGGCACCTCTCTTACCCGTACATCTTTGACTACAATGGCAATGTAATGATCTCAATTCATTAAGGTTTCGTCTAAGATTTTTTCTTGTAAAACATGAATTTAGAACAAGGGATATGTTGTGCACTTTATGAGATTTTTTACTTGGTTGAGAAACAATTAGACCTAGGGGCTTGCCTTTATAGTTTCCACCTTTTTTTTTCTCCAACAGATATATATGATGCCTGAAGGCAGTCAGAAAGGGGAACTTCGTCTATATCGAGCAGTTAATTTTCCTATGCAATGGACACTTGATAAGATAATCATGAAAAAGGCCCTTGTTGATTCTTTTATTATTCCTCATGAGGGGAAGTTCTGGCTTTTTGGTTCAGATCAAAGTGGTATTGGCACCGAAAAAAATGGACAACTGGAAATCTGGTATAGTAGCTCTCCACATGGCCCTTGGAAACCGCATAAAAAGAACCCGATATATAACACAGACAAGAGTGTGGGAGCTCGGAATGGAGGCAGGCCATTTGTGTATAATGGAAATCTTTATCGCGTAGGTCAAGACTGTGGCAAGACATATGGGCGACGAACACGTGTCTTCAAAGTTGAAGTTTTGTCCACTAATGAGTTCAAAGAAGTTGAAGTTCCCCTGGGTGTTGAGGTGTCGAGCAAGGGACGGAATGCCTGGAATGGGGCCCGCAGCCATCACCTCGATGTACAGCAGCTCGGTTCTGGAGAGTGGATTGCGGTTTTGGATGGAGATCGAGTACCTTCTGGGGATGCAAATCGTCGCTTTATTCTTGGTTCGGCTGCAGTTATTGCTGTTTCTGTAATTGTCATACTTGTGGGAATGCTAGTCGGGGCCGTGAAATGCATAGTACCTTTAAGTTGGTGCCCACACAACATGGGAAAGAGAAGCGATTCTTTGTTGGCTTGGGAGAGGTCAAATGTATTATCTTCCAAGCTGCGTCTTTTTTGCAGTCGACTGAACAGAGCAAGCTCAAAACTTCGGGCCAGAATTCGACCAAGCACTTGCATGGGGACCCTCATTCTTGTCCTAACAATTGTTGTGGCCATTTTCCTGATGTGCAGTGGAGTTAAAAATATATACGGTGGCAGTGGTGCTCATGAACCATATCCATTGAATGGTCACTACTCTCAGTTCACTTTATTGACAATGACCTATGATGCCAGGCTTTGGAATTTGAAAATATATGTAAAGCATTATTCGAGATGTTCTTCCGTGCGTGAGATTGTAGTGGTGTGGAACAAAGGCATACCTCCACAATCCAGCGATTTTGATTCAGCTGTGCCTGTGAGGATAAGAGTAGAGGAAGAGAACTCACTGAACAATCGATTCAAGATGGACCCATCAATAAAGACCCGTGCTGTTCTTGAGCTTGACGATGATATTATGATGACTTGTGATGATGTTGAACGAGGTTTCAGGGTGTGGCGTGAACATCCCGATCGAATTGTCGGATTTTATCCTCGACTCATCAACGGGAACCATTTGAAGTATCAAGGTGAAAAACATGCTCGAAACCACAATGGATATAACATTATCTTAACGGGAGCAGCTTTCATTGACGGTCCTATGGCTTTTGGGAGGTACTGGAGCGAGAAAGCTGCAGCTGGCAGGGCTTTGGTGGATAAGTATTTCAATTGTGAGGATGTACTTATGAACTACTTGTATGCAAATGCTAGCTTATCTGAGGTTGTCGAGTACGTGAAACCCACATGGGCTATTGATACGTCGAAAATATCTGGTGTTGCAATTAGCCGGAACACAAAGGCTCATTACGGGGTCAGAAGCAATTGCCTAATGAAGTTTTCAGATATGTATGGGAGTTTATTGCATCGAAAGTCATACTTTAGTAGTCGAAAGGATGGTTGGGATTTATAGTGAAGAAAGAATTATAGCATCCGGTAAAATGTAGTACCCTTTTTTCTCTTTTCTTAGTGCAAGTTTTGTTTATACTCCATCGTAACTTTGAATTTTGCTTTGGTTAATCAGTAGTTTATGTAAGTGAGGTGTACATTGGTTTGAATGAAAATTATGTTTCTTCCTTCGGAGGTTTTTTCTTCTTTAATTTTATTATTACAGTTGGAAAAACTGTATATCCATGTTCTCTCCAGATTCATATCTTACCTAGAACACTGGACGGAGCTTCTTTATCATTTTAATGCTGTTCAATTCTGTGCAGGGTAATAAACTTATTTCACTTCCAATGTAGACTCTTAGGGCCTGTTTGATACCTCCATTTTCCACCCATTTTGTGTTGTTTGACGATCAAAATTTTCCATGAAATTCCTTTTCTACCCTACCTCCCACTTGACCCATTTTCTTGCTTTTTAGGGAAAATCAATTCCTTTGGTTTTGGTGGGAATTTGGGTTTTCCATCATTTTTTTTTGGGTAGTGAAAATAAATTCTATAGCTTTAATTGATAATTTTCATGAAAAAAGGACAAACCAACACTAAAAGATTTAAAATTTTAACATTGTTCAGGTGGAAAATTAAATTACACACATTTAATTGACAATTTTCAATAAAACAAGTTTTAGGCAATTCAATTCCCTAAAATTCGTTTTTTTTTTCACTCAAATTCTATTATTGCAATCAAATGGACTCTTATTGTTGTGGCAGTTGAGGTAGAATTATGGAAATCTAAAGTCGCACATGATCTGTCTTTGTCATTAAAAATAGATAGACTCAGTCATGGGTATAGGACTAAGGGCATGTTTGATAGGTTGGGTTTTTCATGTTTCAGGCACCAAAACGACATGTTTGATAGGCAAACTTTTTCCTCCAACCCCCACGTGACCATCTTTTCCATAGTTTTAAGGAATTGATTTTCTTTTGGTTCTGGTGGAAAAATGGTTTTTCAACTTTTTTTTATTTTTTTTCAGTAATGAGAACAAATTCTATCCACAATTGAATGACAATTTTCCTGAAAAATAAAGCCAAACGACTATCAAAAGATCCAAAATTTCAATATTTTTTTAGTGAAAAATTATATCAATCAAACATATTTAATTGACAATCTCCATTAAAATAAGTTTTAAATAATTTAATTCCTGAAATTAATTTTCTTTCTATTCAATTTTTATTCTTGCAATCAAACTAACTTAAATTCAAAAAGATTTCGTAACAAAAGTTGCTTGACCAAACCGTTTTGTACACTGGAACATTTCTTGACAGCTTGGACCCCCATCATCAGCATGGACATTGCATAAGGTTAATGAATAATTGAAGTCAAATTCCAGAATTGGACAAGCAGACTATTTACCATTTATAGCATTCTATGACATCAGANTTTTTTTTTCTATTTTTAATTACACAATCTTTCATAAAACAATATTACACATAAATCGAAAAATTTTCATTCTTTTTCAACCACTCATTCTTAAAAGAAAAAAAACATTTTCACCCATTTTAATTTGGAAAAATGGGGGCTAAACGAGGGCTTAATAGAGGTTCGGAAATCCGAAAAGAAAACTTGTATAGTAATCTTAACCTATCATCATAATCAGATTCATCATTCAACTCCAAATTGGTATCCAACCTTCTCTTAATGTTGAATAATCAATATCATATAATACATCGTCTAATCTTTTTGTAATTGTCACTTAGTCCTAATAGAAGCATGGCTCTTCAATTTTGGGCCAATTCAAATTAAAAATGAAAATTTCACGTGCAAGGACAACGTGATGATTTAAACAATATGAATCATCGACTCATCGTATAGTTGTAACGAAATGATGCCTGCACTTGTTTCTTTTTAAAGGTTTAAGACCAACTTGTTACCATAACAAATAAGTTGGAGTCGTATTTCACCTTTAAATTAAAATATAAACTAGGGCAAATGACAATGTATAGGGTAAGGGAGACGATTGTTAAAGACCACTCATCCATCTAATCCTAGGCAGTCTCCCAAGCTGAATATTTCGTTAGTCACTAAACTTTTTAACTCCGCAATGTTTTACTCATTAAACTTTAAAATGTCGTCGAGTGGTCATTAAACTTTAATATTTTTTACTTCATCACTCACTCATTATGTTTCATAAGTCACTAAACTTTAATATGCTTTTGAGTGGTCATTAAATTTCAACATGTTACACTTTCACCACCCACCCATTATGTTTCATTAGTCATTGAACTTATATTTCCATCTTGCTTTGCTTATTGAACTCTAAAATGTTTTTGAATTTTTTTGAGTAAAGTTGATTTTTTATGAGATTCGATCTAGGTTAAAAAATAAAATTAATATTAAATAAATAATGAGACTCTCAATTTAACATGAGAATATTGATGTTAGTTAATAAGATATAATTTTTAGCTATCAATAGCTAAAACGTAACGGTATAATTTTTAGCTGCCAATAGTTAAAACGTAATGGAGGTATAAGTTCAGTAACTAATGGAAGATATTGAGTGAGTGTAGAGTACAACATGTTAAATTTTAATGATCACTCGAGAGTATTTTAAAAATTCAATAACTAATGAAATATGGAGTGATGAGGTGCAATGTCACTCAAAAGCAATTTTAAGATCAATGAGTGAAAACACCAAGAAGATATTGATCTCAATCACTAATAAAACATTTGTCTCCTCCTCCAATCTGTAGGCCCTCTTGTACTCAAGCATAATCCCATATAAATGGACCCAAAATTCAAAGAAAAAACAAAATAAGATAAAAGAAAAAGAATTTAATTCTTCAGCAGGGATGGATCACGAATTGAATGAAAATACGAATTCACACAAATGGCATTATACCCATCTTTCATTGCCATGTGCTCTTCGATCCCTATTTACATATGACATCTCCTTCCCTTCCGTTCATCTCCCTTGCATAACTTTTCCTTTTAGGGCCCTTGAGAAAATTTTAAAGCTCCCTTTTGCAGATATATACATACACATTACCAAGAAAAAGGAAAACGTATATACGAATACATATACGTACACATTCATATATGAACACGTGCAAGGAATCATTCACTTTTTTGGGGTCTCTTCGAATATGGTGGTAGCTTTATCAGATTGCTGTCGTAAAGAGAGAACGAGAATATATAAAGAAAATCTGATCTGATGACAGATGTGTAATGGGTTCTCTTCTCTTAGAATTCTTAAATTGGTTCAGCTATTCAACGGTATTCACTTTCCCTTTCATTGAAGGCTGTGAAAAAAGCACTTATTCCCGATTTCCTTTTTCCAGTGAGAAAAAGCTGACATCCCTTGTCTGTAAAGAGGAAATAAGAATGTGTTTATAGATAGAGATATAGATTCAAATATATACGTTTTATGCACGTAGAGGTGGTGGGATATAGAGAATTTTGGGGTGAAGAATGTTGGCATTGGTGGGCGGGAGAAGGAAGAGGAGCTGCTAATTAAATGGAGAAGGAATTTGATTCGAAGCTGAGTATTCAAAATAATGTTCCATCTTCAGACAATATCAATAACCCTCAGAGATCTAAGAGCTTCGCATTTAGAGCACCACAGGAGAATTTCAGCATACAAGATTTTGATTTAGGCAAGATTTATGGTGTTGGTTCTTATTCCAAGGTTCAATCTTTTTCTTTGTATATCTTGTTTCCTCCATGTGTTCGTTTATAATGATTTCTATCATGGATTTATGTTTCTTTTCTTGATTTTGTTCATTGTATTTTGGTATTAGGTGGATCGATTTATCCCAAAATTGAATATCTCTATTCCCTTTTATACCCATTTCCTTCTATTTTTTAAACTTTGAATTGGTTTCATAGGATATGCTGGTTGCCAATTTCTTTTTTCCTTAAACTTGGATGAGATATAAAAATGAAAGCAGCATAGATTTGAGTGGTGTACAACTGAATCTGAAGATTCTGTGTTTTTCATTTTTACAAATTTCTTCACCTTCTCACCAATTTGACCTGTAACCGTAACTGCTAAACTATTTTGGCAGATCCTGTTTTGGATAGTTGGGAATGTTATGTTGCAAAGCACTTTTGACTCATCGGTAGCTTATCCAAAGGGAAAAATCATTTTTTTAAAGGTTACATATCATTGCAATATTGTTTTGATTAGTATCTAAAGTAAGAGGAGCTAGTGAAAGAAAATGTAGTTCCATAAGAGCAGGGTCCGGAGATCATCTGCCTATTCTGAGGAAAAGATTCTGATGTATGAGTTTCATTTTCCACGGTTTTCTTTGCATGTAAATATCAGGAGTCTTTCTAGAAGTGTGTAAATTTACGGAAACAGTCTAATGTGGAAATTGGTAAAGGCAAAATAGTGGACTAGAATAATAACAGCAGTGCAATGTATGAGAATCGGTGTTGAATTCTCTTGACATATCCTCTTCTGCCATTATCTCCTAAAATTTTGTATCTCATGTATATGAAGGAAAAATGAAAACATTTTGCTGTGCAAAATTACTTTTTTATAAGCGTAGCTATTCTTCATACAAAAGCATGTTTTTTAACTTCATTTCCATACAATGAGCATCTGGATAGAACTAGGCGATGCTTTTAAATGATTTTTGTTAGAAATTGGTGGCAAATAATGTTATGTGAATACTGATTCTTAATTTTATATTTTTTGATGAGATGGTTCTCAAAATGGAAGTAATTGTGCACTCAATAGGTCTACTTCACGGATTCAGTATTGCACCTAATGGATCGAGTTTTGCATAATTTCTTTCCAGCTGCAAATATTATTTGCTTACGCTTTGTAGCTTAGACCCTTAGGAAAAGTTCCGATATTATTCCTCTCTTCTTCATTTACTTTGCCCGACTCTTTTGGCTTCTTTGTTGATTGTTGAGCACAGAACTCCATGAATTATGTTAAGATTTTGACTGGTTGTCATTATTTGGTATTGTTGACAATAGCTTGCTTGTAAATGTTTACGGTCCTGATAATAGTTTTCTTGTAAATTTGCATTTTTGTTAGAACTTTCTATTACTTGCTTATGATTTTGCCAGGTTGTCAGAGCCAAGAAGAAAGACACAGAAACTGTATATGCCTTAAAGATTATGGATAAGAAGTTCATCACCAAGGAAAATAAAACTGCTTATGTAAAATTGGAGCGCATTGTATTAGACCAGTTAGATCATCCTGGTGTAGTGCGATTATTTTTTACTTTTCAAGACACTTTCTCTCTCTGTGAGTGTTCTCGTCACATCAATAGATGTTATATTGTTATGTTGGGTGGTTTTTATGGATGTAAATGTGACACAATGTTTCTGCATTTTATTGTATTATGAAGACATGGCGCTTGAATCTTGTGAAGGCGGAGAACTTTTTGATCAAATAACGAGGGTAAGTAGAATGTGAAAGCATGTATGTTTCTATGGCAGTAATATGTGAAACTTTAATAAAAGAGTGCATCACAAGTTGTTCTAAAATTGACTTTTCACAGGTTGGTTACTGTTGTTGGATTTAGAGAGTGAAGTGAAGATAAAGAAATTAAGCAAAAGGTAGCTGAAGTGGAGAATTTGAGAGAAGCAATTAGGATGAAATCTAGGTGTGAAAAAATTTAAAATTCCATGTATTCTTATGCCACTCAGCTCAGAATAAGATGAGCCCAAAAAGGGGAAAAAAATAAAAAAAATAAAATTCTCTCTTTCATTTCATAATGTACCAAACATCCCCCACTTCCTCCTCCCTCCCCTTAAAATTATCTAATTGCCCTTTGTTTTCCATCCTTCCAATCAAAACTTATTGTAAGACTCTTGTGATTGCTGTGTTATTTCCTTGGATAGCGAGTCACTGTCTCTTCATGCAATGAAGCCTTTCTTAATACATAGTAGGCTCTATTTTCGAATCAAATCATGCTTCTTGAAAAAGTATAATCAGGTTTTAAATCTGTCACTACTTTTGTTATCTACCGTAAGAAGGATAATATGTGCATTAAACTCTTGACCAAACCTTTACACCACGTGATCTTGTTGATTAATGTGCAGAAAGGCCGTTTGTCTGAGGACGAGGCTCGTTTTTATGCAGCTGAAGTTGTGGATGCTCTTGAATATATACATAGTATGGGACTGATACATCGAGATATTAAGGTAGGTTGCTGCATAAAAAGAATCCTATTCCATTTTACAAATGCTAATAATTTCTTGAATGGCAGCCGGAGAACCTGCTACTTACTACAGATGGACATATTAAAATTGCTGACTTTGGTAGTGTAAAGCCTATGCAAGACAGTCAGATAACAGTTCTTCCAAATGCAGCATCAGGTGAGTCTTACTGCATTGTTTCTTCCTGGAAATCGAAGTCATTATCCAATGAATTTGAGTATAAAGAATAATTGTCATCATTTATCCCCAGATGATAAGGCATGTACCTTTGTGGGGACAGCCGCTTATGTACCTCCAGAAGTATTAAATTCTTCTCCCGTAACTTTTGGGTAATGAACTAGTACTTCAATGTCTTGTTGATTTATAGTTTCTGGGAACCTAGATCAACTCAATCAATTATATCTAAAAATATTCTGAAAAATCATGAGAGAATGTTGATATCTAATGAAATGGTTCCTGCTTTTTGTCATAATCACGTGTTGTTCCAATAAGACAACCTAGTTACTCCCCCAAATTATGTTCACCCAGGAATGACCTCTGGGCACTTGGATGCACACTGTACCAAATGCTTTCAGGGACTTCTCCCTTTAAAGATGCTAGCGAGTGGCTTATTTTTCAAAGAATTATTGCTAGAGATGTCAGATTTCCAAATTACTTTTCAGCCGAAGCACGAGATCTCATTGATTGTTTATTGGTAAGCCACAAAATTACTCTTTCTATTCACATTTATTTATTTTGGTTTACTAATTTTTTTCCTGATGTCAATTTTATCAAACAATCTAGAAAATTAGGAAAGAATCATGAGAAGAATGGATGGCATGAAGGATCACAATGTTATCGTGTCTTGTCTGTATAAGTGATGCCCGATGTTATGGGAGAATTATAAGAGACGGGGAAAGGGAAGAGACGAAGAGAAAGGAGGGAGAAAAGAGAGAAGAAGGGGGAGAGTATAGTGATAAGAAGAGGGGAAGAAATTCAATTTATTTCATAATCAAGGTTGTTTGAATTACATCACATAAGCCCCTTTATATAGGGCTTTGAAAGACCCTATTGTAGGAAATATATAATAAAAGCAAAGAAATATAATATAGAAATTTATATAGAAAACCCAATAATCCACCAAAAAAATTTATATAGAAAACCCAAAAATATTTATTATTTTTATTTATTTATTATTTTTTTTTATAAAATATAATTGACCGCTGAAACTGTTTTTCCTTTTTTCAATCTAACTATGGCTCTTATGCAATGTTGATGTAGGACATGGATCCCAGCAGGCGACCAGGTGCAGGACCTGACGGTTATGCTTCACTCAAAAGCCATCCTTTCTTCAGGGGCGTTGATTGGAATAATTTGAGGGAGCAACCCCCACCAAAACTTGCAATGGAGCCTAAAGTGTGCAAATTTTTTTATTTATCTTTTATTTTTTTGGTCTTCTGATACTTTCAAATACTCTTAAGAACACATAAGATGCAAACTTTTTATATTGACGGGTAACCTGTTAAGATATTCCAAAATGGGTAGCAACTCCTTTGTTCCCTGAGTGGATTCTTTTTGTCTCTCTTTTCCTTGATTTGTGAGTCGATTTTTCATTTGAAAAAAGTAATATGTTCTCTACATTTGATTACTGTCTCAATTCTTTTAGTCACAGTCTAATGTGGGTGAGGACCAAGATTCATCGTGGAATCCAGCACATGTTGGAGATGTTTCAGCAAAACCAACTAATGGAAATACTAGCGCAACATCAACCTCTGAAGCTGGTAGCATAACTAGGCTTGCTTCAATTGATTCATTTGATTCGAAATGGTAAGGACCGGTACTTATCTTTTAGGAAAAGACCTAGTTCTTGGGATTTAGGTACCCTCATTAAGATCCTTCACATGCAATCATTTGTGTGCTTGATAAAAGTGTTGTTTCACATATAAACATATATTCTTTTTGGTGTTATCATTGCTTTTATTGACAGCTATATGCTCTATAAAATCATATAAAAATATACTAACATAAAAGTGGAGTCTCTAGGGGATATTTACATGGATTTGTGGTGTCATGGTTGTGTGGAGTTACAGGTTGCTTACTGGACATGGACTAATTTGTCTGTCGAATAGTGGGCCGTGTTGATCCAGTAATTGACCTATTTTAATCCATTAAATGGGGATATTTAAGTCACTTCATGAAAAAATATGAATTGTCAACCTGAAAATTGACTCATTTACTAATTAACAGGTTGCATAGCTTATATCAACACGAAATATATAAAGAGTAATGTGTTAGTCGGCCATATGGTGTTGACCTGTTTATGGTCATGTTCGTGTCTAGGAACTTTAATCCATTGATCTGTGCGATGGACCACACATTTATACACGACGTGAACCAAAAAAAGCACCACTTTTACATTTCTTTATATACTTATAAATTACTAGTTTACCAGTAAGAGAAGCTTGATTAAATAACATTTATGGAGAATCCATTCTGAATCTAGATTCATTATTGCTTGGTTAAGAATCTGATGCATGACTTGTTCTAGCATTGGCATTTTAACTTACAGTACATACTTGTTCTAGCATTGGCATTTTAACTTACAGTACACACTTCATTTCATTAGTGCTTCATATTGGAGAATATAAGACACTATTGCTGTATAGATCTCAAATGGAGTCTCCGTTGGTGTGAAATGATTTCCTATATTTTTAAATTTCCTCCTGAACTATATAACAGGCAACAATTCCTGGAGCCCGGTGAATCCCTCCTTATGATCTCCATGGTCAAGAAACTACAGAAACTAACAAACAAGAAAGTACAACTTATCCTGACCAATAAACCAAAGTTGATTTACTTAGACCCTGCAAAACTAGTGGTTAAAGGGAACATAATATGGTCCGACAATCCAAATGAATTGAGCATTCAAGTCACAAACCCATCACATTTCAAGATTTGCACTGTAAGTTATGCTTCCTCTTATCTGTACGTCTTATCTCCTGCAATCATTCCAATACTTCTAACTTCACCCTAAGATTGGCAAGTAGATGAAGCTTTGTGTATCATATCTTCAATATTATTAGGGGCAGGACATTGTAACTCAATTTGCTTCTACACATTATAAAGTCCGGCCTGAATTCTAAACCTATGAAGAAGAAAATAACAAATAGATATTCGGGAAAGTTAGTTTCTATTGCTATATAAAAAAGATCTCTCTGAAAGAGAGAAGCCAGCAAAGAATACAAAATTTCTCTTGATGACTTGATCTTACATTAATGCAAGTCCCCGAAAAATAATCCAGAATTAGAATTTCTAAGGGACAGAATATTCCTTCTCTTGCATCGTTGAAATGGAATGACAAAAGTATTCACGTAGCTGAGTTTGAAATTATTGGGAACACCGAATACCATAGATTGTAGTTGTTATATTTGGAGCATCCTAATATTATTTTACAACTTTTGAGAATGTTATATTTCCTGTTTCATATTCCGAGTCATGATCTTGGAGTTCATCTAACCGCTGCAACATCTTCACTAATTATTGAACCAAACCTCACCAGTCACCAGGGCTTATGCATATCGTCGTTTTGTTAGCATGCTTCTGCTAATATACTTACCTGAAATTAGACATTTTTTTTCCCTTATTCATATTTGATTATAAGTGAATGCTTTGCTGGCAGCCAAAAAAAGTCATGTCATTCGAGGATTCAAAACAAAGAGCCTCACAGTGGAAAAAGGCAATCGAAACCCTTCAAAATCGGTGAATACATGTTTATGATGATGCTAACACATTCTTTGGATATGACAATATAGTTGAGAAACATGGGGATCGGAAAACAGTTGGATGCTCCATTGGAACTTTTTCTCGAAGGTCTTTAGTTCAAGTTACAGAATTTGTTTCTACATCTCCTCCATGATTTGGCATCACCTTTTCGTGGAAAATCTAACTCGATGGCTTCTTAAGCTACAGGGATCCACCATTTTTGCTGTGAAGTGCTTTTTCCAAGGCTTTCAATTGATTGCCATTTGTTTATAGCAGTGATTTCTTGATTGGATAAAGATATTTGTGCTCACACATTTGTACAAAATGTTTTACTCACTTCCACATACACTTGGGCCCCACGTGAAATAAAATATGCCAACAGGTGGCTGCCACCCTCCCATTGTGAGTGTACGTAAACCATTTTGTACAAAAGTGTGTACATCTATCACTCTTCAAAATGTGATATTTATGTTGTACTTAAACCTCTATATGTTGGTGAAAGTTCTACCCATTTTTTGTATTGGGATTTTCTCTCATAATCTTGAATTTTATCCATTCGTCGCATTATCCTGCATTCAGCTGTTTATAACAACCTTTTCTTGAATGCAGTTTATTATTGATTGAACCATGTATTTAGCAATGCATTAGTAAACAATATACATAATGCCGTATTCTGGTATTTTCATCAAATTCTATCTGACGTAATGGATAATAGGAATATGACTATCCCTAGTAATAATGAACCGTTTTT